GTGTGTGTGTGTGTGTGTGTGTGTGTGTGTGTGTGTGTGTGTGTGTGTGTGTGTGTGTGTGTGTGAGAGAGAGTGATTGAGGGGGAGAGAGAAGTTTTAGACCTTCAGAGTATTATGTGAGGTCAATATGAGATGTCTTCTGGCTTGCCCTTGCTTCTTAACAGGCTAGTTTATGGTTTGCAGTTTGATATAAAGTCAAAGTCAGGATCAGGCTCGGGTTAATAATAAGTTGAATCGGTTCTAATCAATATTTTTATATTAACAATGGCTCAAACGATGTGAAAGGTTGCCCGTGCCCCATGTTGTATAATAGCAGGAGTGCTTATGTAAAAGCTGTGTGAGAGTGCTTTTGCAAGAGTGTCATGTTTTTATTACTGCCCAGAATTATTCATTACTGCCTGACTACGACAAAGTCAAGTTCACTAATATGTGGCTGTGACAGACAACAAGGACGAACAGCATCAAAAGAATGCAAATTCTATTCCACAAACTATTGTTAGTGTTTTGATGATAATTGCCGTCACTCTATGAATTATTATGTTGCCTTTAAGCATGGCCAAGCATGTACGCAAATGCATTCAACTGAGTTTCAATCTGCAGGAATAATTTTCTCCAAATGACTGTCTTGTGTGTGTGTGTTTTTTTTTTTTTTATTGACTGACGATACAGATAATAAAGCATAACATTGTGCTCATTTTCATCACCAGTCTTTTTCCATAACACAGTTGGTGAACAAGGCTGTTTTTCCAAGAATATTTCTCCTAATTTGTTTTTTTTTTTAATAGAAAAGTCAGCATTGATTTACATCATTATATCATAATTCCCTCAATGTGTGTGGGGAAATATGAGCTATCATGGAAGCAGAGAGGGGAGAGAGATCTGAAGTTCTTTTTCAGAGAGTACAGTTTTCTATCCCACTCCTGCAAGCAAGGCTTAAGGGACCGTTAGTCTCCATGGACTCTCTCTGTGTGCCAGACTTCACTGGGTTTAGCACAAGAAGCACAACTTATTGGATTACGGGGTCCACTGTCTATGCTCCTACTGCTGGAGGCTGTGTATGTGCGGGGGTATAAGTGGGTGGGCAGCTTGTGAACCGAGGGTGGGATGGAGTAGTAAATACACGATAAATTCCCATTTACTTTCCTATTTTACATGCAGAATTTCTCATAGAGCCCTGCCTTTTCATGTTTAGAGGTTAGAAGTTGAAACAGGCCCGCGGAGCGGCCTACTGTAAATGAAGCAGGACCGTCAAGGCTTTTCTTGTTTCATGTGAGTTTACCACAGGAAGTGTTTTGTCTGCATGGGCAGGATAAGGTTTTGACACGCACACTTGTTTAGATGGACTCTCTGCTGATCATAATTGTCCATATGCGGACAGAGATTCACAGTGGAAGTAATTTACGGGAACAAAAACACTATTTATGTCCTTGGTGCCTATTTGATGCAGCTCACTCTTCTCAGATTTCAGCTTAGGTTGGTTAGTTGGTTAGTGGGATGTTGTGTTTTCAGGCTTATTTGCCCTCATCTAGGTATTATTTTATATCGTCTTTCAATGCTGTGGATGCAAAAAACTAAATCATGATAATACTGTTTCTTGCTGCAATAGTTTCACAATCATTAACACTAGAGAATGAAAGCATACTGTAGTAGGCAACCACTGGGATTTTGTCCAGCATCATTCAAACAGGCTTTTATGGTAACTGTGCCCTTTCCTTAGTGGGTTACTTACGGAGAAAATAATCAAAGAGACTGGGAGGAATCCTTGCATTTGCCTCTTTATTATTTATTCCCCTGGCATGGCACATTGAAAACATACACAGTGGGAGCAGCTGAAAATGCATTCTGATTGGAGAGAGGAAGTAATCACACCAGTTTCACAGTAAACCAACACAACACCTCTAACTGGATGATGACAGGCAAGGCGGTGCTACTGTACTCTATTGTAGGGTGTAACCATCCAGGCTGCAGAGCATGTTCATGATGGGCAGGACATCTGTGAATAACAACTGATTGTTGTTAAGGAGACAAAAAAAATCAATTTCACTGTCAGAGTGGACATTTAATTGCAGAGATTCAGGGGGTCGTGAATATAGTGTGCGGCCCAGAAGGTGCTGGCTAAATTTCACTCACGTAGCTCTTTGAGGGGCTGAGTGACTGCCTCCCTCTGCCAGAAGCGCCATCCTTGTCCCAGTGGTGTTCCACCTTAAAAAGATGAATATATGTGCCCAACCGGCTGCCTGACATTGACACACCATGACTCACGCTGCCGTGCTATTTCAGTACGGCTGCTGGCAAGCCTTTCTGTAGCCTCAACCCCTCCCTGCTTTGGTCATTTGTGTGCCTCCTCTGCTCGGCTGTTTACTTGTAATTTGGACATCTGTCAAAGTGGTTTGTTTGCTACCCCGTGGTGTGATTGGGGTACCTTTGCCAAATCTGGGAAGATGGATGGGGTTAGATTCGAATCTTGGCTGCAAAGACAAGGCAGGAGTTTGGCTACCTCTCATCAAGCAAGTTTTGTGGGATAATTAAGAAAGCATTGGATGTCAAAAAGGCTGCTCTGGCACAGGGGTCACAAGCGTATTCATCGTGCTCCTGCGGTCTTCATGGTGGTCTTGTGTCCCAGTACTGTCTCTTTGGTCTTGCCTTGTCCTGTCACACAGTCTGTTCAGCGCGGTGCTCCGGTGCCAGAACCTTGTCTTAAACCACGGGGGGAACAAGTGGGGCAATTAACCACCTGCTGGTAAAGCAGCTAACCGCATAGCTTCACACACACCCTGACATTTGCAGGATCACTCATGAACACATTTTGTCCAGATTCATAGATGTAATGTCACTCATTCACGCTGCATGAAGCCCATATCCAGCTTGCAAACACACAGGGTGCTGCTTTCAAATTGACTCTCTGATCACGTTTCATCAAGAGCATTACTAATTTGTTCATCTCTTTAATGAACACTAATTAATTATTGGCAGGATTGCATTAACCCAGCAGTTCGGTTTCCTAACGGCAAATGGCATGCTCCATGCTCACATCACCTACTGTACACTCTCACGTAATCAATACCGAATCATTTCACTGCTCCATCCAACTTCCCTGGCAGTCACCTTGGGTCACCTGCCACAGTGAGGTTTTGTACTGTAAAACAGATGATATCTGGAACTCCAATTACAAACTCTCAATTTCACCAAATCATTCATAGCTGAAAGAAATTGTGACACTTTAGGCTGGTTTGTATGGCTCAAACTATTTGTGATTTCTGTGACGAGCTTAATCATCTAATAAAGATTTTGTTTACTGGCTGATTAGTGACGCAGTTGCACTGCAGTTTGCAGCTCAGTCACCATCTCGGCAATGACGTACAAATCAACACACGGGTCATTGTGTACTGCCTGTCAGTGAGTGTGGTTTCACAGGTGTGTGAGGATGGTGTGTCAGGGAAGGGTAAGAGGAAATAGAGCAGCCCATTAAAGAAGTTACATTGCTGTTCAACCACCAAAGCACAACTACATACCAAATATTTTTTTGGGAAAATCAATTTCACAAAATCCAAACTACATTACAGCATACAGAAATCAAATTATATTGACACACAGGAAGTCATGATATGCATCATTATGTAATGACAGATGACAGATATGTTTATCATCAAAAAATGCAGCGCAGCAAAATAGTTGTTGAACAGCTCTACACTGGCAGGTAATAATTAACCTCTGTCATAAACTACTGCACATGAGCCTGTGATTAGAAGACAAATCCAAAACAGATGTTCTATTTCCTTTTTGTTTTAAATGCTGTTAAACATTTCCAACTTACAAAAAACAGAAAACATAAAAGAAAACATACTTGGAGGAGGTCCTAAATGTTCCAGACTCTGGGAGTGGCCAACAGATGTACTATGGACAGAGAGGGTGTGTGCATATGTCCATAGTTACTGCTACTGAGTTTCACCTGAGAACAAAATAAGCCAGCTCAACCAGTACTGAAGCACTGCCAGGTTTCCAAGGACATTTGGATTATTCCCAAACTTTAAGGTATGTCAGAGCTTATTTATTTGTCTCTATTTGGTTTTCTTGGTAGTGTGTACTTCAGAACGAAACAGTTCTTATCTCTGCTTGTTTTACATTGGTATTCACAAGTGTTCTAGACCGCAGCTGCTCTAAGAAAGGGAAACTAATTGAGAGAAGTAAGACTTCCACTCCAACGTGCATGTTAGATTTCAGACAAACAGCTGTGTTAGAGGGGTAGATGACAGTAGAGATCTTTTCCCCTCCATGGAATAAATTGAAAGACAAAATAAAAACATTCAACGGTAGTGGACAATCACTGCAAATACATTCTCGAAATTCTTCACTTCATGTTGCACTTGCTTTCAGGTTCATAATGGAGCCTGTATTCACAAGCACGAGGCTAAAGGCGGCTGTGCTGTTTTTGCTCACTATTCGGCTGACGACAGGTGAGTCTAATTTTACATCTCAGGAATGTGTTTGAGGTTTCAGATAAGTAAGGCCAAAGCAAATACACTGATGGCCCTTTTTATGAGAAAGCTTATGTATTCTGATCATAGAGAGCAAAATTTATATGATCACTTACAGAACTGGTGTTTTTAGTGTCTGGGCTGTGACTATACACTAGCCAGTCTGGCTTCTCTCAGCTGATGGTACGGCAGTAATACCACTGAGTGAATTGCATTGCAGACAATCAATGAACTGTGTACATATAATGTGGGTGGCTGACTGGTACCCTGCATTACATTCATAGCTCTTTCTTATACTCCTGTCAAACTGGTGCTTGTTAAGAAAGGCACAGAGACGTCATCGTCCCCAGTGAAGGAATTACTCTTGGGCTTCATTTTATTTTGATACACAAACAACATAAAAGCAGAAGTTAAATGAAATGCATGCAGCAGAGTGAAAATGTACATATAGAACACATGCAATACTCCTACCACGTATAGGCCCAAGAGAAGGTGTCTATTTGGATATTTGAAGCTCTTTGTGTCAAGTTTAGTGACTGCCTCTCCACATGGAAAACACATCTTCCATAGATCCCATCATTTTGCCCAAGAGGGCTTTGGCAGTATAAAGAGTTCACTGACTAATTTGAGATTTTTTCAGAATCCCTTCGTGACATTTTCCATTTACATGCTTTTATAAATACCTCTGACGTACTTTGCTTTGTGGCATTGAAGTGTTTTCAGAGAGTTGGATTTTATTGGTCTCAAAAGAGAGGCTGGTTTGATTTATCAACGTGGTCCATTAAGACATTTAGTGAAGGTTAATTACCTAGATGGGGAAATGGTGAAAAGAAATTTGCTCCAGATGTCTGAGAAGTTGAATGACAGCATTATCAAGATAAATCGCTTGGATCTGTTGAAACACGCCGCCATGTAATAACAATTAGCTTTGAGTTCTTTTTATAAACACCAAGCTATCAGCAATAATTCAAATCTACGATGGCCGTAAACGGTGAGAAGCAGGGTGTTTCAACCCAGAAACCGCTTTTAACTGCCACTTGTCAAGTACGTTTTTCCAGTAGGTTCAGTTTGAATCATCATTTACCCATATATTTCTGACAACTAATGAGCCTCAGGAGTTTAAATTAATACACAACTAATTTTCACAAAAGTACCACTTTTTCTTTTTATTCCGGCTCCAAATCCAATTAAGTTTGACTTAAGAGGCCAATTAGTCTCAGATCAGCACCTACTCCACTCTGAGACTGTTTACAAGCACAAGCCCAGAGCTTGAAACCATTTAGTTGGAAAAATATACATGCAGTTGAGACAGAGAATGTTTTCTGTCTCTTGGCTTGGGTAGAACACTATGAAAATTGGAGGGAGACAAATCTGACGTGACTTTTTCTGATCCATCAGATGTGACGGAGGCAATGGAGGTGACGTCCTCAGGGCCACAGACCATTCAAAAGGCCCAGGGGGAGACAGTAACCCTGGGATGCACCTTCACCCCCGGCCCCCATGACACGGGAGAGCTGGACGTTGAGTGGTCCAACGTCAGACCAGACATGACGCAGAAAGACCAACTGGTGTGTATTTGAAGACAGAGAGGGATGTTGTTGTAAAACCTGTCTGGGAGGTTGGACAAAATACTACAGCAGAGAATTCATTAAACATGCAAGAGTGGGAGTTATCTCTTTACCTTTGAGCTCTGTTAGTGGGAAAACCTGCTTTTGAAGATGTGTCATCACTCAAACCCATCTTTGCATCTCAGATCTTATCCTATAGAGGGGGCGAGATGCACCACTACGGCGACCCCGGGGTCTCCAAAAGGCTCAACTTCGTAGCGGACCCCAAGCAGGGAGATGCTTCCATCTTTCTCTCTAATGTGAGGCTCGCAGACAAAGCCACCTACCAGTGTAAAGTCAAGAAGGTGCCGGGTGTCGACATGAGAAAAGTCACTCTGGTGGTGATGGGTGAGGAGGATTTTTCTCTTAACCTGTTTTACCTGTTTTCGTTTTCTCTGCCCTCCCATTCTTCTTTTCAAATGTTCATTCATATGGAATGCGGAGGCTCTCTCTAGTTTCTCTTTATGTCTCAGTCAGTGATCACACCTTACCTCACCTCTGTAGCCATACCTCAGATTTTTCTCCTCTTTCTCACCTCTAATCCTCCCACGATAAACTAAAGCATTGATGTGTTCATTTATTTTTGTCTTTCACTAGTTCCTCCGTCAATGCCAAAGTGTTGGGTTGAAGGCAAAGAGGAGAAAGGTGGCCCAGTGTCCCTCCGCTGCAAATCCTCTGTGGGATCCACTCCTCTCAGTTACACATGGTCGAGAGAGAGCGGAGGTGCACTACCATCCACTGCCACCCAAGGTAAGGAAACATGTTATCAGACGAAAATGCTTTTCTGTATTGCATTCATGATGCTGTCTTTGTATAATATAATTGTACTGAATGCTCTCTTCTTTCATTAAGACCGACATACTGGGGAGCTTTTGATAAAGAACCATACAGACAACAACATTGGAAGTTACGTGTGTGAGGTGGAAAATGCCGTAGGCAAAGGACAGTGTAAATATGCACTGCATGCATACAACCGTAAGTCATCGTCTAACTTTACTCCTAATTAGGCCTACTTACTCTTCCATCCTGAAGGCCGCCTTTTTCCTACTGCATGCTTTCCAGTATTTGCTGCTGTCTTTCCTGCAAGTCGTAAAATGACATGACAGCCTCTTGTTGAAGCTGGAATAACAAAGGCGGAGAGCATGTTCTGAAAGCACCATGTCCTCTTTTGCAGCTACCAATAAGGCGGGTGTCATAGCTGGGGCAGTGATAGGTGCTCTCTTGCTGCTGCTCCTCCTCCTGTTTCTCATCTGGCTCCTGATCTGCTGCTGCCATAAGCGTCGCTATGAGAAAGAGGTCCAAAACGAATTAAGGTACTGTACCAGAGCTGGAAACAATTTGAAACATCCATGAATTAGTCTGAAATATGAAGTTCATCTGAGGGAGACCTGTGAACTGGTGACTTGTTTCCTCAGGGAGGATGCCCAGGCCCCGGAGAGCAGACCCACCAGCAGACCCACCAGCAGAGCCTCCAGTTTGCGCTCAGTGTTGGCGTACCGCACCCACCCCGGGGTGCACTACAGCTCTGTGAGGAAAAACCTGCCCAGTGTCAGTGAATCAGGCCCCAGTCCCATCTTCAATGGCGAGAGTAACGGCAGATCACAGCCAACTGCTGCAGGGCAAGGCCGTGGTTCCCTCAAATACGACCAAAAATTTGGATACCCTGTGTAACTATAAACCAAAAGCCTGATAGACTTTTTTATTTTTAGTAAAAAACAATGCATTCTGAAGAGGGACGTTTTATTTTAAGTAAAAAATATGAAATTGTAAAGAACTCAATGTATAGTATGTATATGACAAAAAAGTGCAATTCAATATATTTAATTGGAGAATGATGGGGGTATAATTGAATCTTAGGGGTGAGCTCTTGTACAAACAAAAATGTCCAACTGGTTGACTTTCAAAATGGACTAGCTGCACTGTTATTATTGTTACACTAATTTAGCTAAAACTGTATGTAAAATGTATATATCTATATAAATATCAAAAGACTATTTTTACTTTTTTCAAACAATGTATTACTTTTTTTAAATATATGGATAATAAAACATGTTTAACTGAGACGTTGATGAGGAGAGTACCATCTAAAGCTCATCTTTTATTGCTTTATGATATCTGGGCTGGCACAGCATAATGGAACATTTGAAACACATTTTCCACTCCCAGAATGTAACCATCTCTTGAAAAAAAAAAATGTGATGTGATTATGTCAAATCAAATAATCTATATGTCCAGAGGTTCAAATACAGTTTAATTAACGACTTAATTGGGAGTGCATTGAAAATGAAGATGGTGCAAAACTAGGAGTTTAAATACTTGGTGTATGAACATGGTCAGAGAAACATTCTGTGTGTTTTCACAGATTAGAGACCGATTATTTTCAGGGTCCTTTCTTTGGTTGTGGATAACAAAAATCATCCAGAATACCATGTTGACAATTTTACATGAGTCTGGATCTTTTGGTTTATCAAAGCTGCCTTTCTTAGCCAGAAGAATAATATGATTGCTTGTTTGTATGCATAACTTATGTCCGCTCAAGGGCCTCTCATGGTTAGGTTCTAACTTACATGGAGACAGAATATATGGCATTTAATTTTATATTAAAAATAGGATTTTTTTTTCGTTTAAACACTACAATGTATTAAATTATTAACTGCGGGACTCACTTTGCTAAAAATTGTGCAATTAAAGCTACTTTACAAAAATACTCTTGAGGTTTACTTTTCAACACAAGCTTATGAAAACCTTGGTAGACAGTGGGGACTATGCACCAACATCACTCGCAGACTGTTTAACAATGATGAAAGTGTGGAAACATTGTGGAGCACAAAGTCGAACAACGTTTCACCAGGAACACAGTAAGATTATGAATGCAGCTATTGCCTCAGTGCATGCTGGGACGGTTGTTAACACACCTACCACATGTAACCACAATCACATGATCAGCACTCAGCCAATCATAATAATGCTGCTCACGGTTTCAACTTTTCAAAATAAGAGTGCACTGCTGCCCCAGATAACTTCATCCAGGATTTTTCAAATCAATCCTCAAACTGCTTTCAAGGAACCAAAGTAACTGGATGAGAATAAACAGGATTAATTTAGCCTGATATGTGCTTGTTAGCCTGACTTATTTAAACTACATTTAAAGAACAGGGCCATGGGCTGTTATAAATATAGATTCAAACTATGTGCTGCTCATGAATCAGACTGTGAAGTTAATTTAGCCTCCAATCCTCTTATGTGCATTTGCCTCCTGGAATTGTTTTCATTTGCAGAACAAAGCGCAGCAAAATTGCATTTGATGTGTTGTAAGTTTCTCCCCCATGTTTGGCTCAGCAGTCAGTAAACTAGTTGTTACTCAAACAGATAGTAGTTGGAGCGCTAAGCTGCAGCCACACTCCGGAGAATCCGGAGTCAGCACTCTCATTTTCAGACAAGCTTCCCTCTCTTTTAGATTAACTTTTCTTGAGAAGTTGACTAGCAGCTCCCACAGCAAAAACACACACATACACAAACACTCAAAACGTGTTTACATATGAGCCTTTGCAGTGTTTGACTTTGTCACTTGTTGCTTCACATGGAGACAAAGTGAAAACTGTTGACTTTTGTATGCACATTTCCATGTCTTCATCTTTCTGATTACATCATTTAAATTAGTAAAGAAATGCATATCCTTGAGAAGAATTAGTTCCCTTTTTATGTGCGTACACAAGTGTGTGCTTTGATCCATGCATGAACTGGGGAAATAGATACAATAATTTATTTCAAATACTTGTCTGGCAACCTCACTTAGAAACCAGATAATCTCTTCTTTTAGTTATAAGTTTCTTAGAGGGCTTCTCAGTGTTGGCAGAGTAATTATTTTTTTGAAAGCAAAGACTCCCACAGCAGAGTGTTCTTTTACTTATTCAAAGAGTGTATGCATGAAAATGAGCTTTTTATGCTTTTGTACAAAAAGGCAACGTGTGTCTTTGAAATTTGTCTTTGGATCGTCTTGGATTGTTTGGTATGAAAATAACTATTTATTATAATATAAGCGTAGCTAAGTTAAGGTGTTATTCAGAAAGAAAAACATGGCAGAGGACCTTGGTCAGTATTAAATACTAATGCAATTAAGATAAAACAAGCAAACAAAAATATAAATGAAATATAAACATTATTATTTAAGTCAATGTCTTGTTAAAGTCTTTCTACAAACTACGTTGATATGGTGGCGCATTAGAAAGACGCCTGAAGGTGATTCACAAGTGATTTGTTTTTCTTATCAGGTAAATAGGTGTGTGCGTGTGTATGTGTGTGTGTGTGTGTGTATGTGTGGGTGTGTGTGTGTGTGGTTTGGTGTTTGTAAAGAAGTGGCAGAGCCGCAGGATTAACCATTTGCATGCGGAGTCCGGTAGAGTGTGGTCTGTGGATTGGCTGAGCTGTCATGCTGCGCTGATTGATATACAGTAAACTCCCCGGATATTCATAATGAGCACATATCCTGAACACCCCGTGTCAATGCAAATACACCGCCACCACTATCTGTGGTCGTAACTGATGCAAATCATATGCTTATATATAATCCCAGTCAAGGAACACGTAAATCCAAAGATTTCACCTTGCTGAGAGCATCGTGCAGACAACTTCAGGCTAGGGATAAACAAAACAAAACAAAGGATTCTTCTACTGCAGCCAAAGATATTGAGTCAGACAATATATTGTGATGACTAGCAGGTACAGAGAGTGTACGCAGAAAACTTGAGTAGGATTCAGAGCGATGAAAAGCCTCGTCCAACCCATGGGAGCTTCGTTTGAGGTAAAATGGATGTTTCTTAAACCCTAATTGCTCTAAGCTTCTTACCTCAACTGCAATTTACTTCGATTTGCATATGGCCGTCCAAATTGTATATTTTATATATGTTCTCAATCATAATAGAGATTAAGAATCAAGATTTTAATTGAGCATATTTGGATATTTTGTATGTATTTCAGAAACTAAATGTGTAACTCTTTTCCCCAGGCCACACCACCAATGTGAAATGAAGAATCCTCTGGTTTGGAGTGTGTGTGTGTAATTATTTGTCTTCTTGTCATCTGTTTGAACAAAGCAAAAAGACTTCAGAGCCCCTGTGGAATAAGTTATTCTCATAAAGATTGCAGATGTGTTTTGCTTAAAGATCATCACTATGTATGGGGTGAATAAATCGTCCCTCTGGGTAATGACAGGTCTCTTGGCCATCACAACCATCTTCTTTAATGTCTACATCTTCTTGAAGAGTCTGTGGAACTACAGGCAAAAAAAGAAGTGGAGTCCCAGTGAAACCATCATCCTGGCTCTGTCGTTGTCCAGCGTGGCTCACCAGCTGGTCTGTTACTTCTGGATGACCATGGATGAGGTGGACAGTAAGTGCCGCATGGCCGAGATGCCCTACACTGTCATGCTGCTGTTCGTCTACAGCCTCAAGTTCACCATCATGTGGGACACTAGCTTTCTCACTTTTTACTACAGCACTAAGCTGGTGAACACACCCAATCACTGCTACACACAGATCCAGGCTGCCATCCTCAGACACGTGAGCTTAGCTGTGTTTCTCATCCCTCTGTTTGGCTTGGGCACCTGCATGCCGATGCTAGTGGTCTTTCAGCCTGAAAACTTCACCAGCGCAAACAAAGACTGTGGGGTTTTAATGCCCAACACCCCCTCTGGCAAGGCCTACGAAGTTGTGTATCTGCTCCTCGCTGATGTGCTGCCAGGGCTGCTCATGATGAAATGCTGCATCTCCATCTCCGTCCACCTGGCAATCCATCTCCGCCACATGAAAGCCGCCACCAACGGAGCTCACAGCCCAAAGCTGGGCTCTCAGATGAGGGTGATCAAGATGGCTTTATCTCTAGTGGCCGTCTTCATCCTCTTCCTCGTGATAGACCTGTACGTCAACTACCAGATATCGGTGAACCACGAGAACATCATCACGCTCACGTTCTTCTTCACGTCCATCTACACGACAGTCACCGCCATGGTGCTGATCTACGGAAAAAAGACTTTCTGGAAAGCTCTGATACACGACTTTAACATTGGCCTGGATGAATATCCGTGTTTGTCTTGTCTGAAGGTGCCTGAACAAAAGGCCGAACCCAGCTCTACTGAAAAAGGTAAAACCTGAGAAGCCAATTTGTGCTGAAATCAATTGGTCATTGTCTGAACTTATTCTTTTATCTTTTGTGGTAGCACTTACAGAATTGACTAATGTCCTACTTAATCACTATCAATTACAATGTCTTACATCAATAATGTATTTTAGCTGTGTTAGCCTTGTTAGAGAAGCAGGTAAGAGCAGTTCAAGTGATGCACAGATCACAGCGGCCAGGTAACCATGCTTTCCATCCAAATCACACGCTCATCAGACTGTATCTGTGAATATTAATATTTCAGTAGAACAAATAATGGTCGGGTCTGTAAACTAGATCCCCAAGCGTGGTTGCCTGAACATGATGTAACTCTGCACCCATCTAAAAATGTTAAAAAATATATGCGAGTACAGAGCATATTAATAAAACAAGAAAGCATACACAGCCTGAGTTCTTTCTTTTTTTTCATCACAGAGGTTTTTAGAGTTTTTCCTGTGCCAGGTTGCAGATCGTTTAAACTGCGCACAGGGACAACAGGAGCCTGCTTATGACTGGAAGGTTGCCAGTCCAAACTCCTGCAACAGTTTCGAGAGAAAACAAATAAACTTGACAGGGAAAAGCACTTATGATCGTCAACTTCTCTTGTGTATCTGTTCATTGGTCCTCAACAGAAGTGTGCACGTCTGTCCTCGACAGCTGCCAGGTGTGATTGTGTCTAACTGCAACTGTGTGTGTGTGTGTGTGTGGGTGTGAAGCATGGGCGTTCCTGAAAAGTACACTCGTGCCCAGCAAACCTACCCTTTTGTAAATAGGGTTTAAAAAAAGGCAGCAGACCTCTTCACAATGCTCCATTGGTTCACGCCCCCTGGCATCACCAATTGAGGTTCAAAGCAGAGATACAATAGTGCAGCTAATCCCGCTCCACACAGAAGATTGGGATGCCTCCAACAGTTGAATGCCAAAATAAGAAAGTGCACATCTTCCTTTGATGCGGGGGAGTTGTACCAAGGCCTTGGCTTCAAGCTCTCTCTGTTGGAGGCACTTGGGTTGGCATGACAGGGGCATAAATAGTACAGTATGATAACATACTAGCCAATATGGATGCAATAATGTAACACAATACAATCATATTATTCTCTATCTGTATACTTGCTCAGGAAATGGCAGTGGAAAAAGTATTTACATCCTTTTTTTAAAGGGAACATATTACGCTTGTATTCAGGTTCATACCCGTACTTTTGTTTTCTACTAGAATTTTTGAAAAACACATTTTCTCATACTGTCTGTCTAGTGCCTGTCTCTTTAAGCCCTCCTCCTGAAAAGTGCAGTCTGCTCTGATTAGCATGTGAGAAAAATATGGTGCACCTTTGAGTAAGTAGTTCTTAAGCGGTGGGGGGAAATACTCAATTGGCGGGAGCTATATTCTAATGAGCCTGCATGTGACTTAAGAAAATGTGTCACATCTGAATGGCTTGTTGAATCACAAGTTTGATCTATAGGCAGCCCACAAAAACTGACTGGGTTTCGTATTTTTCAGTATGTTGGTTAGTAGGCACTCCAGATATCCAAATATGTCTACACAAGCACTTTTCCTTTATGTAAAAGTACAAATAAAACTGTAAAAAGTCCTGCATTCAAAATCTTAAAAAGCACAGAGATATTATCAGCTGAATG